GTGTGTGTTACAGTACCTGGCCCCAATGAGGTCGAGCAGATGCTGCCAGCGTTCGTTGACTTTACCGAGTTTGTGTTCAATTTCAGAGGCTTTGCTCTCATGACTGGCCCGAGCTAAACGTTCACCCAGCTGCTGGAGCTCGTGTTTATTCTCCTGAACCACCGCCACTTCCTCCTGATAGTCCTGAGGGACATGGAAAAACATTCCCATTATGTTTAACATTCTATATATATAAATATATATATATACTGTATATATATATAACACAAAAGAAATGTAACATTTAATCGCTACCTTTCGTAATTTCTCAATCATCTCTTCGATGCTGATGTCTCCATTCTGGGATACTTTGCTTTCCATTTGCGTCAGCCATTCACACAGCTCCTTATATTTATCATTGAAGATGGCCCATTCATTCAGCTTCTCACTCGCCTGCTGCCTTCGCAGACACAACTGCACAGACAAATACACAAAAACATTGGCCTTCAGTAATTTCAAAATATGGTTGAGCATTTAAACCAAATCTAAGTAGATTCAATTGAATATTTAGCCACAACGTCTCTCTGTATCTTTATAATGTGCAAAATTAAAGTGTAAATAAACACAGTTACACATTCCCAAAACCATATTGAAGGAAAGGCAAAAGCCTTACCAGAGCATCAGTAAGAATACAGCATGAGTGAAGAGTTTCTGACAGCCTGTCCCTACAGTTAAATGTCTCTACTGAGATATCAAACGTACGCTCACATCCTGTGGTGTCTCAGCTCACGCACCGGATGCCACAAACACAGAAGGTGCATAAAACTCTTCATGCTTCGCATTCAAGTTTCACTTTGAGTGCTTTGCATTGCTCTCTACTAGCAAAAACATTAGGGCTGTCAAAACGACTGAAAAACTAAATTTGAATTTTCCACTTAAATATAATCAAAATTCGAATTATATTCGAATTTATAAGGCATAATTTCAGTTAGGGGGAAAAAAGCTTTTGGCTTATCTCCTGAGGCCATAAGAGGGCGCATCGAGCAAAATATTATGCACGTTTCTTCAAAGCGTAATAAAATAACATGACTATGTTTGAAAAAAAGTGCATAATGTTTAAAATAATTTTTATAAACCATATATAATTTATAAAGTTGCTTAAACAATTAGAAAAAAAAACAGCACCATGCATGTATGTATAGTTTAATACAAAGGACCTAAAACTAATCACAAAGAGTAGGCTACTTTCTTCATTTAAAAACATGAGATACAGTGGGATGGGGGAAAACCGCCATAACGTCTTTAGACATGTTTTTTAAAAGTTGAACTTGCATTAATTTTACATGGCTTTCTAAACATGCCGCTCTCATGTGCGAGACGCGAGTGCAACACCGATAGATATCCCTCTAGAAAATGTGATAAATATGCATTCTGTGTAAACGGCTTGGTTTCAGTTTTGACGTAAACAACAACATCTTCTCCACACTGATGCTCTCGTTTTCCACAATATATGAATGAACAACCAAGCAGCGCCGCCTCTAGTGGGTTCAACTGGATAGGCTAACAAAAGCATTCAAATGCAGTCAATGACACATACATCATCATCGCATCTCGTGCGCCACTGATAAGGCTGCCTGACGGCTGACGCAGACCTTAAATTCGAATGCAACGTTTTTGCATTCAAATGTGGATTTTGAATTTTTTTTATGCGACGAATTTTCGAAATTCGAAAAAAAAATTTACAACCCTAGTGTACTGGTCTTTAACTTTATTCCCATTAGGTAGGCATTTTGTCCTGTACAAATTGACATACAGTACATTAATTCCTAGAACAATGATGCAATATGGTATTAGATGTCTCACTCAGGGGTGCAATGATGATAAAGTATTGCATTCTCAGAAAGTTTTCACTTCTTGGAGCTTGTCTATGTGGAAAATGGACCTGTAACCTACATGCAAACTTTGAGCATTTGTAGTAGCCTATTATCACAACAGCATGTGTATACTGTTAGGGATGCTGTTGAACTTCTACTGTTGTTATGATTTAGTTTGTTATAGAAAGATTAATTTGGTAGTGCTGTTCTGTGGTAAAGCACTTTATGCCATATAAACAGTCTCAATTACGTGAAATGTGTTCTCTCAGAGCTCATAGAATATTAAGAAGAATATAACACCTTTTACACACAGCTTGAGTCTCAACTCTCACAGCATCTGCCTACTAACCCCCACCTTTTTTGTTTGTCAGTCATATCATCAGTGAAAATGAGTCTGGTGCATATGATTTGAGCATTTCAGATACAGGCTATACAGGCCATTTCTTAAAATGAAATTTGATAATTTATGAACAATATTTTATTTTATGAATGATAATTTATAAACCTTTTAAGACAGACTTACTGGGCCTCATTTACAAAACGAACGTACAACAAAAAATTGAGCGTACGGTCGTTTCAACGCAAAGCTTGGAATTTATCAATATGGACGTGAGCGGTGGCTACGATCAAATCTCACGTCTGGTCTCAGCTCGTGTACGCAAGTTTTTGAGTTACCCGAACTTGTGTGCAGCATAGTAAATGTGGTGGAGAATTCTAGAATGACATCATTTTGTTCATTTTTATTTTCCTGGCCATCAAACGAAGCTCATTAGTCGATCGTTAACCAGTAAGATTAGAATGTCTTTTT